GCTATAACTTTTAACCATAGTGATAAGTTACTTGTTCTATGAATAACACTTTTCAATGTCAAGAAATCGTCCTTTATTGTCATTATGCATAGGGCAAATTGTGCTTCAACCTAGTTGGTACAGAAAACAGTATTCAGCAACTTATCCTGAAATCGGCTTTTAATTTAAACATGTTGAAATTTGTAAAGTAAAAATAACATGTACTACTTGGCTATGTAACAAGTTGGCTATAGTAGCTTTGTTCTTGCAAGGACTAAACAGGTATATTCCTAATAATTGAACTTGGTATTCGTCTTAAACCATAGCATAGCCTAGGAATAGTCCAATACAAGAGCTGTTAGCAGGAGCAAACTATGCTATTTTTTTAATGTAAGTTTCATGTTATAAGGAGATTTTTTCGTTACAATTATTATGTAGTCTAGGCATATCTTAAATCTCATCAGGTAATTTCCTCTTTGTTAATTTAGTAAACCTTTGAAAAGTCTTTGTAATCTAACCAAGGAAGGGCTTGTGATGATGAACCACAATCAACAGCTGAAGCAAAGGTTGATAGACCAGCTTTCTCATTATTTTAAGGTTTAGTGTTTGTTTCCATTAAAACCCCAGTTAAAACACTATCGATATAACAAAGAAACTAAATTGATTACTAATTTCTCTGTCAATCACTTGCAAGCATTCAATAGCTTGTCTTGTCACTGGTACCGGTAACGTTTAAACGTCGTCTGCAGCTAGCGATTTTATTTTATCTGACAGTAATCATAGAGTAGTAAATAAAGGAAATTAGAGCTAAAAATGTGGATAACACTCAAATTAATGGTCTCCATGTCCACACAACGTTGTAATAGGGAATGAAACGGCTGCAACCAGCTGTATGAAGCCAAGAAAGTAGGCCTAATTGTTTTGAAAGTCTCAGTTTGAAAGCGGTTGTTTCACGTAAGGTTGAGGTTATGGTAAAAATCACTATCTCAAACAATGTTAATGTAGCGAGAAAAGTAGCTAAAATTCAGCTACAACTACTTTAAAAATGTAGCTAGCTACAGCTAAAGCTACAAAATCTTAAAAGTAGCGACGCTACAGCTAACGCTACAAAAAAAGTAGCGCGCTACTGTAGCGTCGCTACTTGTAGTGCGCTACTTCCCAACACTGGCCACTTTAGAGCTTAAAAAAACAAATAATTTAGTATATTGAAGTGTTTCTGTATGATTATTGGTTACGGAGAAAATTTTAAATTAAAAATTCCCATGTTATATTCTTATGGAGAATAAGTAAACTGTTGTAGTTTGCTTGTTTAAGGATATATTTGGATCAAACCTGGCAAATCTATTTATTTTATACTAAGCTATTAATATTTTACTAAAAAACTCACTGTATTATCCTCCCTGTAGGCAGCAAACCTAGGTAGGTACTCGTTAAACCTAATGTTATTTGAATAGATTTAATTAAAAATCAAATCAGGCAAATGGAAATTTGCTTAGTCTGCAAGTATGCTGCGGAGGGGGTATTTTTGTTTTATTCTCTGAATTTATTTTTCTATTTTATTACATGTTCACCAATTTTATAACTTTGGGATTTACGTACTTTAGAGCAGCATTCATCGCCTGAATAAGCTATGATTAAATAAATTTGTACTACATTTATTATTTTATTCTGAACTGAAATGTTATTCAAATGAACTGAACACATCCAAGTTATTCAAAGACCGTTTGATATTTTTACTCTTACAAACTGTTATTGCATATGACAATCCCACAATTTGCATATTTAATAATGTACTTTAGATATTTTCATTTTATTTAAGCAAATAGTTTTATGTTTTAGAGGTTATGTGGTATAGAGGACTTGCAAGTCCTAACTTCGCCTCTTAAATAAAGACATTTTTCATTTCATTTCATATTTGTAGAGCATTTCAAAAGAATACAGCTATTTACAAGGAAGATTTCATCCATCATATGGATTTTATAATTATAACGTCATGGTTAATTGAAATAAAACATAAATCTAATGTTAAACCAATGTTGTGTTTTTTGCTTCATTCTCTACTACCCCAGCCAGTTCTCACCCAGGTGGGATGATTAGTTTTATCATTGTATTTGAAAATGTAATAATAGAAAATTGACACTCCCGCCAGCGAGTAAGAATGACCCTCTATGATTAGGTTTATGTAGGAAGGAGGGGGGACTCCTGTTGATTACTTTTACGAGTTGACATATGCCTATGTGTTGCAGAAAAGTGTTTTGACGTAGAAAATGTGCAAGTGGCTCTAGTAGCTCGCAAATGGTGGTAAAGATTTTCTCAACGAGGCTAGCAGTAGGTGTCCATTAATTTCCATTGATACAGTGATTGAATTTGAGGAATCTTTGCTTGCTAATTGGCAGCTTTCTGACTTTGAGGGCTGACCGTAGTCTAGGGATGAGGGATCAATCAATAGTCAATGTTTTTTTTTTTAATATCAATACTTTTCTATCGATGTTTTTTATAGAAGATGACTGTTTTCGTCAAACATCGATGTTTTTGGCCAAGTATTGAGATATCAATGTTTTCCATTATCAATTATTTAAGATAGGGACACCACTATTTGCGTATTTTAACCCAAATATGAGTGGCGCAATCTTGTAGTCTTGTTAGTGACCAAGGCAGACATATTCCTTAGACACAGCTGTTAATTAATAGCCCAAACAGCTAATGGCAACTAAGGGACCTACAGTTTATAGTTGAATCCGAACCACAATCTTGCCTTGGTATTAACAAATTGGTGTAATTATCAGGATAGTACTGCGGATAGTCGTAGTACTCACTAGTGTGGACGTTAATCTACAACTGAGAGTATCGCATCCACAGTGCATCTCTATAAATGTCCACATTTTGTGACCTCCTAGTAGCTGGATTACAGGACTGTATTACTGGAGAGTACAGAGAGCAGACGAAAAACTTAAAAAAACATCGATGTTTAGTCCCAAAAACATTGAGGTTTTTGCAACGATGTTATCGGTACATCGATGGTTGACGTCGATGTTACATCGATGATTGACCTATCGATGCTCATCCCTACTGTAGTACTTGATAGTCTTACAGAGACGTCCCTTAGTTTTCCCAGTCTCACCCAACTTGCTAGCAGAATCCGCTTAACTTGAAATACTACTTTAAACAACACAGATAATATTCGGCTTACATAATGAAAAACATTGTGCAAATGTTTAAGACAACTTCTAAATTCTCTTCACCCCTTGCACACATTTCTTAGGTCTAAAAACATTACTTCATTCACATCCGTTACTGGTAACGGACTTTATGTTATCTTTTCTTGGCAGAGTGTCTATTGTCTTTCACAATGTTCTTGGATAACATGACAAAACTAGTCGTCCTAGAGTTAAGACCAGCTAGAATAGTAGTGGATGAAATTAGAAACACAATGTTGGTGTCAATGTTTTTCCGGACAGCCCTTGTGTATACAGGGTGTCTTGCAACCTTATGAACAAACTTTTTTTCGTCATTCAGCATGTCAAAAGATACAAAAAATGTAACATAACATGTGTCCTATCTCATTCTGTATTCGCATCTATCTGGATGTGATTAGAAAAATAAAACATGCATAACTCCCCAACTGTTTGAGCTACAGCGTTAAATATATATTAGGGGGAAAATGTATCCAGTGTAAAATGTTCCAATTGCAATCACCCTACTCCAGAATACCTTCATCTTGCAGAAAACAAAGTAGGTTACCATTTGTGTTTTCTCCTCATGGATAATGAGATATAAAGTCTAGATCCTGGGAAACGTGTGTTCTAAAAAGTACTGAACTAATTAATTAACAATCCCTAACTAACCTGATGGACTGGGATTGTTCATTCACTAACTAGCCAATTAGTGGATTGACCCTATTTGTTGACTCCAAATGGATAACTGAATTACTGGTATCAATGAGTGGCCTTATGATCAAACAAGTGACTAAGAAAGCTTTAAATATATGATATAAGAGAATAATTATATTTTAGGATACTGAGTAAGAACTCAAAAATACTCAAACCCGTGGAGAAGCTATTCTACAGAGTTATAAAAAGAGATGAATCAAGCCTATTCCATTACCATCTGTAACTATGATATTGTAATTTCTAACAATCACATTCAGTGTAACAGGTATGATTTTTTGAAACATGCATAGTTTTTCTACTACTACAACGTATAGGGTAAATTGTAAATTCTATAGTTATTTGTGTAACTAGTTATTATAACGCATAGAAATAATTAGTCTTTCAAACATAAATCCAAGCGCTGAACGAAATGGGAAACACTGCAACAGCTGAACGTAGTTGCAGTATCTTTAAGTGTTGCCAACATATTTCCAAACGTACATGAATTACGTGTTGTCTGGTTGGAATACTGGTATGCGGCAAAAAAAAAGATTGTGGCAAAAGTAAGTAAATGCAGCAATTAGCAATTTTTTGTATTATAATCAGTAAAAGGAAGCCCGCTTTGTCAGGTGACTCTAGGAAAAACATTTTGTGGGTTCTGTTTTGCAGACTTGTATATTTTAAACTCGTATTGAATTTCACCAGTGCACGTATTGATCGGTGATTCGGAGGCTTGACTCAAACAAAATGAAGCAATTTTGAGATTACTGCACAAAATAACAAAAGAGATGGTGACAGGAAAGGGTTTTAAAGAGCAAGCATGGGCATCCTTATCTCAAGTTTCACACATGCTCTGAAGCACACGCCTAAGCTCACAGGTGCACCAAAGGCCTACAATGTGGCTGACCCAACAATCTGGTCGGTTCCACTGCACAATCTGTACCTAAATAATTAGTAATGGCAGACATTGAAAGTGAAACCACACATTAACAGACCAAAGACACCAAGAATCTCCTGGTGAAGTAAACATCTGTGACGCTGTGTTATGTCATAAGACTTTCCAATCTGAACTACCTTAAAATATTGAATAATAAATCGCAACAATTCAGTAAAAATAAATATATTCAATGTGGTCTATAAAAAACATAACTATAAGTTTAACTCAAATTTATTACACAACATAGGATTTAACAATACAATGTTTATGATTTACATTATAAATAGAGTTTGTGCTTAAAAATACAAATTCTGTGACTGCCTTCATTTGAATGCAATAATTAGTGGGAATGGCTCCGTGCTCTAAACTACAACATGTCTTGTTGTATGTAACATAAATACTGTGTTTAATTAAAATACACATAGATCCCAAGTAGTACTAAGGTAAAATAAATCTAATATCTGCTACACAGATTACATAACTCGGGTTTCTGAAGATATAAAATGTCCAAGTTTTTAAGATTATATGACTTAAATTGCATTAAACTTAAGATGAAGAAAGCTATCTTGTTATGTATCACATCTGCTTAGGATTTGTTTTGTTCTTTTTTTTTTTGAAAAATATAAAATTGTTAGAAAAATGTTTCGATCAAATGTAAAGTAACTAAAAAGATAACAACGTACCAAAAACATTGTTTACAATTTTGTGAGCTCATAAAATGTTGTGAAACGTTTTGAGACTGGTTGGCAAAATTACATTTATTGAAAACAATTTTATTCCTAAATCATTGACAAAAGATTCAAGCTGTAGACATCATGTTGTGTGAATTGTTACTAAATATGTAAAATAACTGAAGAATTTCATTGAAGATCAAAAATATTCCCTATTGGCATGACCATTAGCTTATCAATAACAAATATTGGTCAGTTTGAAAAAAAAATGTCTTCTCGCTTCATTCGAAAGTCGTCAATTGATAATAAATCAATTAACAAAACACGAACACGGACACGGACATAAATAGGAACATTTGGGGCTAAAAAAAAACTTAAACGGAAGGCAGGAGTTATGTCTAGACTGCTGGACATAACTCCCGCCCGATCACGTTGCGTCCCGTGGGCCTACCGTTTCAGTATTTTTTAGTCCTAAATGTTCCTACTTATGTCCGTGTCCGTGTTTTGTTTATTTATTTATTATTAATTGACGACCTTCGAATGAAGCGAGAAGACATCTTTAACAGCCTGAAGATGACTCCTATGTGAGTTGAAACCGGTAGCAACTAAGCTACAAACAGGATCGCATAAATGCAGGTATTTACACCAATTTATAGTATTTAAATTTGATCAGGAGGCTAAAATTCAATAGAATGAAAAAAATGTTAAATTCTGATACATAGAATACTTTTTTTAGTTAAACTAATTTGTATATGGTTTCATCATTGTAAAAATGCCACATCATAACAAATCGCATCGAGGTTTCAGTGGGAAAATACAAAGATATATTTTATTTTACAAGTAACATGTTTGTTGATTAACACATTAAACGTAGTCACCTTCTCTATCAATAAAGTAGATGGCATTATTATAGATCCTTGGGCTAGTTCTAAACCAATTTTTAACATCAATGATTAACACAAACTAGTCAAAACCTTTTGCTCAACAAAATCTGACCAGTTTTGTTAACATATTCAAACAAACTTTCTTCAAGTTATCTTAATCTTACCTTGTGAAACAATAGATTTGCTATTAAGAATTACAATTAAAAGAACAACAATTTAAAAATCACGATTAAAGAATAAAAATTAAAAAATTACAATTAAAAGATGTTCAAAAGTATCAAAAATAGAAGCTGACTTAATTAAATAAACAGGTAATAAATCAGGATGGTGTTATATTAAAATAACAAACATCTAACGATATCAATGCCTTTTATAAGTAAGCTTGCCAGTTGTCCACGATTAATAAAGACCCTTTCTTCTAAAAACTGTTTGCCAACTTTCTGCCGTTTTACTTACTGTATTCACAATTCTAAAAGCGTTTTTGATTTTATATGGTTTTAACAATTTGGGCTTTACTGTCACAATTTTAAAGAAGCAACAACTTTGTTACCGTTTTCGTTTAGATTATGGATCAAATGCATTGAAGTTATTATTTATGTAGATCCTTTTTTAGAAGGTCAATTTAATTTTTTCTATTGAGTAGAAAATTGTCTGTTTACTGTTTGAACTAAGAGATGAGCTGATTTTTATAACTAATTAATCATTGATTACATGTTTCCAAAACAAATATACTAAAAGTATATCCCCCCCCCCCAACTTGTTTCAGGCAAATGAATTAGCCATAAAATTGTGCTATACCCTAATTTTTTGATAAGTATAGGGTTTCAGATAAAATATGGACACAAGCGCAAGCCAACCAGCCCTAAAAAGCATTATTAGTAACAAACATATGAGATATCTAGAATGAAAGTGGTGCAAGTCACCGAAACTAAATTTTGAGTAATTGTCGTTTTTATGAAACAAACAGTTTTAAAGACAAGGTTAAATAATGAAAGTGGTGTAAGTCACTGAAACTAAGTTTTGAGTATTTGTTGTTTTTGTGAAACAAACAGTTAAAAAATCCAGGTTATATAATGTAGAAACGGTTATGGCCTAACATTTTATTTTATTATTTATTTAGTATAAAACATTATATTTAACCTTTATTTTTATTTTTTTTTTTAAGGTTGGCGGCCTCTTTTAACCTTGCATTTGCCCGTCCACATAGACTATCTGCCTGTGCGTGGAATGTACCCAGCAAAGCAAGGGGTGAGCCGGTACAGTACAAAGGTGAACTGTACTGATAAAATGTTTTCGGCAGTGACCAGGATCCTAACCCACGACATTGCTGCCTTGGGCCCGAAGTCTGTGACACTACTGATTAAGCCACCGACTCACCTAACCTCATAAGGCTTTAAGTGACTTACACCACTGTCATTCTCATTCCAACAGCTGTTTTGGTTAGTTGATATTTTTGGTGCTGCTCCTAGTGGCCATATATTGAACTATTGACTTACACCACTAGCATACTGAACAGAAGAGCTAAAAAGGAGCCCAATTTTGTATAGAACTCAGATTTGCAAAATTTTTACTTAGGTCGTCTACTCCACTTTAATTCTAGGAAACTCTATATCAACGGGGGAAGGAGACGATCCTCTCAATCATATCTTGCCAATATGGCCTTTCCTCAAAGGTTCGTACTCATTATCAATAAAAGAATTGAAATGGTAAGCCTAGTTATGAGAATACATGATGTTTTATCAATTTTTAACATGTGGACATTCACTTTCAGCGACATAGGTTTGAAATTATCGATCATTAAGTTATCAATTGGTATCCAAACATTTAAGATCTTAAAACCATCAAACATTCAACTTGGACATTTAAAACATGAGCAAGGGCCACTGGGGCAAAATAATAGGATACTGCTAATTCGCTGTTGGTATTTTTTGCTGATGTTTCAAACGTCCTTATAGAACATCTGAAATGAATTTACTGTCTGAGCTAAACCAGCAAACAGTCATTTCCCGAAAATGTAACCCTATAATATTCAATATTCCTTAACACATAGAAGAAGACTGGCCACCAAAATTAATAAGTGGTTCCTGCCCTTCAACTTTTCCTTCACTTTAAACTAGAACATTTTAACATGAATGGTAACGTAAGGTTGACAAGTATTAAGTAATAAATTATTTTCCAACTACTTTAACTACATGGTAAAATATAGTTTTCAAATCCTACATAGGTTTCCAATTAACATAAATATATTAAAATAACTTTTTACGATTCTCTGAATCGCTTGTTTCCATTAACACAGTGATGAACGAGTTAAATTGAAATATCACGCAGATGAGCTTAAGGTAGGTTTGGCAAGGGATTACCGCTCGAGCTCTGAGAACCTGTCCCGGTACACCACTGAGCGGTGTTGAGGGTCCAAAATAGGTTTAAGCACAGCTTCTGTTCTTGCGATTCGGAGTTTGAAGCGTTCGGAATCTCTTGCCAACATCTCCCAAGGTCCTCTACGTGCCATCCTGTAGGCGTAGTCCCATGTCACCATCGGATGAATCTTCACCAAGTTGTCGTCTTCAGCAAAACGGACCTATAACAGGAGATTCAAAATAAAATATTCTGATGTTTTATGTGTAGATGTAAAAATTAATTTCTCTGGCTACTTCAGCCTGCTTTGACTAATACCTTCTAACTTGTGCAAAATATAAAGTTATTATATTATGAATTGGCTCAGTCGGTAGCGTCACGGACTTCGGACCTGAGGCAGCGATGTCATGGGTTCGTATCCTGGTCACTGCCGCAAACATTTTATCAGTACAGTTCACCTTTGTACTGTACCAGCTCGCTGGATATGTTCCACGCATGGGCAGTTAGTTTATGTGGACAGGCAAATGCAAGATTAAAAGAGGCCGCCAACCTCTTTAAAAAAATTAACAATTCAGTTAACAGCATTTTAAAATGTTTTTCTTGTTTTATTTCTGATTAAACAAATTATTAGACACAATTCAACCCTACTGTGAACCAACAATAAATCTATGAGTACATGGTCGTTAAAAACTTAACCAGTTAATTCACAAATTTTAGCACCTTTCAAAATAGCCTTTACTGTAGTCTTCAAGACCTAGGTCCGAAACCACTCTACTGCTTTGTTTAGAACACATATAACTTATATAATATTTTGTGTAAAAATTCTATGTGTATTCTATGTGTATGTGTATTCTATTTTTGTATTAACCTTAGATCAAATGTGAAAAGCAACATCTATTTGATTAAATATAGCAACGAGGAGGAAGATCAGAGCATAGGGAGGGAGCATATGGAGAGATCTTTATCCCAAAAATTTTGTTTATGGCATGATTTACCAAACTTTCTATTTTTTTAGATAGGTACAGAGCTATTAAAAAATATGGACCCAACTTCATGACTTTGCATCTCAAAAATTATAAATCGGGCAGACATAAACTTTACATCACTCAAAAGATGAAATTTCAAAGTTTTTTTGACCATAGTTCTGTAAACGGCCGAAATAGTTATTGCAACAATGGGCAACCATTTTGTTTTACCATCAGTTGTTGTAAGATGGCTATGCAGCAAAAGATTTTCTGTGTGGCAGAGTTTGCAAAAACTGAGTCTCCTATTACAGTGCAGCGGGGTTTTCGCGTTGAATTTGGTACTGAACCACCGACTAGAACAAGCATAACTTGTTGGTTTAGTGCAATCAGTCGTACAAGAGATGTTGTCTCGTTTGTGGGATAAAATTTGGCTATCACTTGATGTTTGCCGTGCAGCACAGGGGGGACACATTGAGCATTTGTAATGAGTGTAAATAAAACTTTGAAATTTTCTCTTCCTAATGGTGAAAAACTTTCTGATTTATACTTTTCAAGATACAAAGTCCCGAAACTGGGTCCATATTTTTCAATAGCCCTTTATATTTATCCAACTAAAATCCATTTAAAAAGATAAATAAGTAAAAATGTTGTTTTTCCACGCCTTTTGGTTACCAAGACAGTTAATAGTAAAGTTAATACAAGACTGTTCCCACATGTTATCTTGCTGGCATATTGAATTGCTTGTTTGTTAAATAAATCATATTTGATAACATAATAACATTTGGAATTTGTTTATTTTATTGTAAGCTTTTAAAATTCAACTGAAATAAAGATTTTTGTTGCCTGTTGTTCAAAACTTAAGTTTATTTAATCAATGTTATTAGAATTGGTTTTGAATCTTGTGATAAATTTCCAATTCTAATAACATTGATTCAATCAACATAAGTTTTGTGCTACATGAGACAACAAAAATCTTTATTTTAGTAGAATTTCAAAAGCTTACAATAAAATAAACAAATATTCCAGATGTTATTACGTTATCCAATATGATTTATTAAACAAATAAGCAATTCATTTATCTGCCAGAAAGATAACGTGTGGGACCAGTCTTGTATTAACTTTGCTGGGTAAAAACAGTTTGATTTATTTCTGTATTTAATGGAATTACTTAATTGTTGTATGACATAACAAAGATACAGGGTGAAGCAATGAGAGCACCCCAATTTTCTTTCGTTGTCACACTATAAGTCGTTCACACAATGAATGAACAGCTGTGCTTATAACATCAATTAAACTATGCCATTTTAGTAAACATTATGCCTGAGGCTATTAACACTGAGACTTTGATGTGGAAACCTATTTTTAAAATAGTGATTCTTGTGCAAAAACCCAGAGATTGTTTAGGGCCCTTTCACACGAGGCCACTGGTTGCCCGCCACAGCTTTAACATTATTTTAAATGGGACATTTCACACGCAGCCACTGTAGTTGCCCGCCACTACACAGTGGCCGAGCAGTGTCTCCTCGCGCAACTGCTAGTCGGCAACCGCCGGCAACTGCAGTGGCGGCAACTCGTCGCGGGGCATTGAATTAAATGTGAGCTTTCACACGTAGCACCAGTGGCCGCCACCGTGGATGAGCGCGCAGCTACTATTTTGAATCAGTTCACGTGCATACTGCAACGACTATGGTAGGTGTTGAGTGTTTTCGTGTTGAATTGTTTGTTTGTAAAAATGAGTGATCAGAAGAAAAATAAAGAGGACAATGCTGAAAAAGAAAAAGACAAAGGAAAATAACAGAATAAGAGAATAAACAAAATAATAGAAGACAAAGTGGATACTAAAGATCTAATTTGCGAAATTGAAAAGTAACGGCAATTTGGTATAGTACGACTGTGTCTTTGCCTTATTTTCTTTATTATCAACGCGAGAAGAAGGAGATGTTCATTGTTCGACAGCATTTTCACAACCGCCATTGTACAGTGGCTGTAGTAGAGTGGCTTGTATGTTGCCTGTATCATCCACTGCAGTTTCCCGGCCGGTAACTGGTGGCGGACACCGGTGGCCGCCACCAGTGGCCTCGTGTGAAAGGGCCCTTAGACCACATTCCATCCTTGGTCAACATGGCACGGTTCCAGATTGGAAAACAATGGTGAACTGGGTAAAATTATTTAGGATAACAGCTTAAACCTTAAAAATAATCGAGGGTTATTCTGATAAGCTACTTGAAAATCGAGGCTTCTCAAATTCGCCCCACAGATTTGCTTGAAACGAAGCTAAGAATTGTCCAAAAACTAAAGTGATTCCTGAAGAAATGCTGGAGGAGTATTTGATCGAGTTTTCAAGGGACTAAAAAGGAATGTCAAGTAGGTCAAGGAAGTCACTTGCAGGATTTTGTTTTCAAGAAAAGGAAAAATTACTATGTTAACTTAAAATGGCAAAAAATAAGCTGTGTTTTGATGTGCTATTTATATCAATAGGGTGAATATTATTGAGTTTGTACTATTTAAAAATTGGGGCGCTTTCATTGCCTCACCCTGTATATCACATAAAAACGAGTCCGGTCCCGTTTTTTATTTTGAGATACATCACAAAATAAAAACAGGACCGGTCGCACTGTATCTATCAAATACAACGGAGCAAAACAAAGGCATGTGTGAACGAGACGACGCTAACAGCGATAAGAGGTGTGTGGGGGGAGGGGAGGATTCAGCACAGTGGCCAAGACATGTTTTGGGACGGAAACATGAAAATGGCGGGAATTTTTCATGATGCGGTGTCTAATAGATTAGGTGTGACCAACGGGGGATTAAAATAAAGTTTTTTTTTGGTGTTTTAAAATAAATTTCAAGTTTTACAAACAATAAAAGATTCTTTTCCTGAAAATATATATGACAAAAAACATAAGTTACATGAGTTTTCTTGTTCTTTTAAAATTTATCCATTAGCAATTGTGAAGCATACATTTAATTTCTTTGTTAAAATGATACAAGGGATTTTGTAATGTGCCAGATTGAGCCGTAAGCAAAAGAAATCGCTAATATTTCAATTTGTAAATAAATATAGATATAGGTTTGTATTTCTGTATAAATTGAGATTACAGATGACAATCAGAGGCGGCAAATGACTAGGATTATGAAACCCATAATCACACAAACCCTTACCATTGGACTCACATAGAACACTTTCATATATGTCTTTTCATAGGATAAAATATTTAACCATGGTTGCCAACAGAATGTTTCTGCACCTTAGACATACATGTAAACTGTTGTTTTTTCAACATTTCAGTATTTCATCACCATTATAAAATGGGTAAATTGAAAGACTTGACGCAAACATAACATTAATCCTCACATTTTTCTCAAAATCGCAAATATTTTGGTTGGCATACTTTAAATTAATTAACTCTATGATTAAATGCATACAAGCTTTAGCGATAAGATAAATTTAATATCTCATTACTTCTATCTTAATTGACTGATAACTCTATCTCAAGATGTGATTATTAACAAAAAGGCCTTTTTTAATCTAAGCCCACCTTAACACTACCACTTTAAATGTAAATCAGGGCCAGTGGGCGCAAGAGGTTGTAGGTTCGTTGGGGGCTGAAAGATGAGAAAAATTCCCCCACAAGGTATGTGGAGAAGGGCACAAGTATCTCTCAGGCCAATCGCTTATCACATACAAACCATGGGTAGGCCTGATGTCAATGATTAAAATAGTATACTGAGCCAGTGCTCATCATTCTAAATTAAATGTCTTCTTTGAAATAAGATTTGAAGAGAATAAAGAATTGGAAATTGATTTATTTTGTCCCTTAGTTACAGTAAAACACTCTGCAAGCAATCTGATACAAACTAAACGTACATGAGCAAGGGAGAGTGAAGAATGAATAATACCCCCGCTGTATGAATAGTACCACACGGCTAACCAGCTGAAAGTTTCCGTTCCTACTGAGACTAATTCGGAAGGGATAGCAGAGATGTACAGGTGTGAGGAGCTGACAAACTGTAGTACTTTAAATTAAATAAAAGATTAACTACAGTAAGTACAGGTGCCTTAAGTCCAGTGCCAGTATTCCGAGTACAGTCTAGGGGAGCTGACCGTTATGGTCTGTGTGCTACACGGAAATAGCACACAGTACGGTACTTTATAAGAGTAGGCCTAATTGAAACTCTAGTGTGATAAAAACACCATTTTCAGTTAAAGTTTTATCAGACAAAATATATTTCAAAGCTTGTTTAAGGCGGTTTCACA